TAAATTTAGACTAATGATAAATTGCTGTTTAGAAAAGACAGAGCCTTAAATAAAGATATAATAAAATTTATTTGATAATGATTCTTTTGATTATTATGATATTTGATATTTTTAATATATAAATTTGAAAAGATTATTTATATAGTTTTTATAACTTGTTAAAATTAATATATATCATATATTTTATATAATTATATAATATTAAAAAAAAATATTTTTTAGTATTTATTATAAAATTATTAGATTTATTTTATTTAAATTTAATACCTTCTATATAATTTTATATTATTTAATAATTTTTACATAACATAATTTTTTTTAAACTCTGAAATAATGAAAAAAAATATATAAATTAGTAATATTTAAATTTTTATTTTACTATCATAAATAATGAAAATAATTCTTAAGTTTTTTAAATAAATAAAATAAAAAAAATTATTTATATTTTTTACTTTTTAATTTTATAATAACTCTTTTCAAATTAATTAAATATTTTATTTTTATTTTTCTTAAAATTAAGATTTTTTTTAATAAAAATTTAAATTAATAAATTTAATATTTAATTTATATAAATAAAAAAATATTATATAAGCTATAAATATTAAATACTTAAAAATATAATGTCATATTAATAAATTATTTTATATCTAAAGAATCGAAATATTTAATTATTTTCCTATTTCTGGATATTTTTATATAGAAAATTTTTTCTTTTTTTTACATAGATAAAAAAATTTATTTAAACAAATTCTTGCAATTTTTTATTTTGAAAAGCAATTATATAAATTAAATGTTTTCAAAATCTTTTTTTATTTATTTTTTTTCATCAAATTTATAATACGAATAGTTTTGGTTATTCTTGTTATTACATTTCAATATATAATTATAATTTTGAATATTTTTATTTTTATATATGTCTATAAGTAATACAATAATATATTTAATTTTGATATTTATAAGAATTTTAATAAATCATTTATTTTATATACTTAATCACTAAAGTTTCTTTTATTAATTTTAATATAATTTTTTTCCAACTAAATTCTTTCTGTATTTTTTTATAATAACTTAATATATATTTTCCATAGAAAAAAACTTTAAAACGAATTATTCACGAAGTTCTTAAAGATCTTTATTTCATAAATTTTCTAAATTTGTTAAAAACTAGATTTTACTTACTTCCATTATAAAAGAATTAGGAGTATCTTCTGAATGTTATCTTATAATAAAAATTATAATATATTCATTTTATTCGTTGATTTAAAATATTATTAGAGATATACAATTACTTGTAGTTAATTAAAGAAGTCTAAAAAGTACATTATTTTCACATATTTATTATTTTAAAAAATCTTATAATAATATTTTATTTTAAAAAAAAAAAACAATTAGAGAAAAAAATAAATTACAATTAAAATTGTTCTTGAAACAAAAACTATATATACAATAAATTTATTTCGATTATTTATGTTTTAAATATAATTTTTTTAATAGAAAATATTAAAAAACTTATCATTATTTAAATTAAGGTTAGCTTGATACAAAAGATTTAATTTTTAATTAAAAAGAATCGAAAGTTTCGTAAAATTAACAATACTAAACTTCTGTTTATTAAAAAATATATAATTGTCTGAAGATTAATTCATTTTAATTTTTAAATAATTAGGTCTATAAATAATATATATTATGAATAATGTTTTTTATTAAATATTTGTTTATGTATTTTTGTTATTTTATTTTTTGTTATTTTTGATAATGTTATATCAATTAATATTTTTATTTACAAAAAAAAGAGTTTGAAGAAGGTTGTTTATTTTAGTATTTCATTTAATATTATTTGGAAAAATATCTAAAAATATTTATATATCTTAAATTTTTATAAATAATTAAATATATTTAAGAAATTAAAAATATAATAGTATTATTTTCTAATATAAAAATTATTTATTCTATTAATTTTTATTTATTAATTTATAATATTTTATTTTTTTTCACTCAAATTTTATAAATTAAGATTAAAGGTTATTTAATTTATGTTATTATTATTAACTAATATTAATTTAAACATTTTTAATATTATAATTGTTATTTAAATTTCCTTAATTAATTTAATAAATTTTATGATTTGAACTAGTTTAACTAATTTTATAATTTTAATTATGTTAGGAATCTTAATTATTATGAGGAGTTTAATTAATTTAATTACCTTAGTGATTTATAAAAACTGAATTAATTAAAGAACCTTAAAAATATAAACGGTTTTAATTAAACTATGAATTTTAATTATTTAAACCACTTAAACTAGTTTAAGAATTTTAATGAATATTAGTGCAATGATTATTTAGAGAATTTTAATAATTTAATTAATTCTAGTTATAATTATAATCATTTTTTTTTTAAATATTTTAAAAAAAATTATAATTATTATTATTTTTATTATTATTTTTATTATTATTATTATTATTATTATTATTTTAATAAGTATTAGCACGAATATCTTAGTTATTATATTATTAGCTATTATAATCATTTTTATTTAAATTATAATCATTAATTATTTATTTATAATTATTTTATATTATATTTTATTTATTATTTTTCTCATCATTTTCTTAATATATTTTCTAATTATTATTAAATTAGTTATTTTTTATATTATCTTTAATTATATTTTTTGAAAAAATAAGTTATTTTTTTGGTTAAAGTTCTTAATATTAATAGTCAAATTCAATCTATTATTTACTTCCAGATTTATTTCTTAAATAATTTTAAAAATTTAAATTTCCTTAACTATTATATAAATATTAATGATTTTATGATTTACTATATTTTAATTAATTTTATTATAATTAATTTTATTATAAATCCTTTATAAAATTAAGCCTCTCACTTTAATTTATTTTACTTTTTTCAAATATAGAATTATTATTCATATTAATATTATTTTTAATAAACATTACTATCTATTTAATAACGTCTAATTATCTTTCTTAATTATGTTCCCCTTTAACAAAAATCAACTCCTTATTTGAAAATGGATACTTTTGGTATAAATTATTACAATTTTCACAAGAAATAAGTTTATCTTCTTTTGAAACAATAAATATAGCCGGAACGCTACTATTATTTAAATTCTTCTCGCAATCTACATCTTCTATATCAAAATCTAAATTATTTTTAATTTATCCTCTTACAAACTCCATAACTCTCCCTAATAAAAACTCAGGTAAATCAATCTTTTATTTAATAATATTAATTCCTGCACTTTTAATGTTCAAAAACGGACTATCAACAGCCATACAATTAATATTTTAAGGAAATCTATTAATATATATATATAAATTTTTATTAGTTTAAAAATTAAGTACTTTTAACTATATAATAAAGCTGTAACAGCACCCATTGAACGTCCCCATAGTGATATATAAGGTATTTTTTTTACCTCTTTTATATAATTTATTATTATTTCAACATCATTTTACTCAGAATAACCTAAAGTAACATAATCTCCTTATGAAAGTCCACATCCTGGAAAATCAAATGAAACAAATGAAAAACCATTTTAAATTGCATATTGTACTATATGTTTGCTTTCAATACGTGATCCATTTAATGAATGCAAATATAAAATGCAATATTTTGATTATATAGTCGGGTTTTCGTAAATAGAACATACTATTTCTTGATTTTTTTTGTTTTATAATTAAAAATCAGTTCTTTTATATTGACAAAAGTCATTTTAGAATATTGGAGGTCCTTTTTAATATATATACTTATGTTTATTTTTATTTTTTTTGTTAAAAATACCTAAATCAAAAAGGGAGTAATTTTATCTTATTGGCTTGCAAAATTGTTTCCATATATTTTAAAATTAATCTATTATATTCATTTAACTTTCTTAATTTTTTTAGTTATTTATAATATTTTTTTATATTAATTATATAATAAATATATAATAAATTTTAGAAATATAATTATTTCTATTGTTGTATTAATAATTTGTTAAATTTAAATCATTTTTAAAAAAAAATTATTATAAGATTAATTTAAAGACAAATTATGTTTGTATATTAATATTTAAAATATTAAATAATTATTTTAAAAAATAAATGTAATTATTATAATGAATTTTTATTTTAATTTAATTATTAAATATTATTATTATTATTTTAATTTTAATATTTTTTTTAATTTAATATTTTATATATATTTTAAAATATAAATTTAATTAAAAATTATATTATTTTTCATTTTTAATAATAAAAAAAGATAATATGCAAATAAAATAAATATAAATAAAATAAAAGAAATTATATATAAAAATACTAAAAAAATATGTATTAAAAGAATAATTATTTATATATAAATTATATATTTTTTTAATAAAAATAATTAAAAAATTATATAAAAAATAGAAAAAAAAAAAATTATATTTTTAAAGTAAATTATTAATATAAAAAATTATAATAAATATAATAATAATCATGATAAGTAAAGATATATATATATATATATATATATATATATATATATATATATATATAATTTATTTTTTATTTTATTTATTAATCATTTTCTATGAATAGCTGCTAATCTTCCATCATTATTTAATTTATTATCCATTTCTTGATATTTTTGAAGTGCCATAGATTCAAATCTAAGCGCTCTTTATTCCAGAATATCTATTTTAAAGTTTACTTCTTTAATTTCTTCAGCCAATTTTTAATCTAATTCTGGTTTTTTAGATATTTATTAATTTTTCTAGTCTAAAATTTATCTTTATTCTTCTAATCTTCTTTAAATAATTTCTGCTCTTGATAAAAATCTTTCTTTTAATTTTGACATGAATTCATTTTTAATTTCTATTGCTTATTAATAGGGTATTTCTCGTTCTCCTAAAAGTTTTCTTTTCTCCAAAAATGGATATAAATAATCATTTACGGCTGCATCTTTTGCCATATCTTCTTCATTCTTTTTAAATGAATTATTAAATCTTATTCTTGCTTTATCATGTAAAGTATATTCTAACTTCACTTTCTCCTATATTTTTAATTATAAATATTTTATTTATGCATATATATATGTATATAAATATTTACTTCTCTCATCTATCCTTCATCATCTTTTGCAATTTTTTCTTATTATTTTAATTAATTTAAGCATTCCTTTTCTAAATTGACAATTTTTGTATTTTCTAATTAAACCAAAGGATCATCTATTTTATTATCTCCACCTGGTTCATTTAATTTTGCAAATCCATGCATAGTATCTCTTGAATAAATTTTTATTATAGGAGTAATTTCTCCTTCATTCATATGATATTATATAATAACCTGTATAAAAATAAAATGTATTATTTAGTAAAAAAAAATACCTTATCTTTAATTAAATCAATGACCATTCTTTAAATTTAATCATTAGCTGGATAATTTGGATTTTTTTCAAATTTTTAAGTCATTTTAGTAATAATAACATCTCCTACATGATTATCTTAAAAAGTTTTATCGCTATTTTAATTTCCAGAAGTCCTTTTTGGATCAAACCTAATAGACCTATAAATGACTTTGTCATCCCTATTTTAGTAATAAAGGATGGTCTTTTATCCTATAAGTTCGAATCTTTCAATTAACCCATCATGATTTCTATTTGGGTAATATTTAATAACTTTCATATGTCTGTCTATTTAAATAACTTATTTCCATTATTACATTGCTTATGGAATTTATTTATTTTCATATTTAGCAGGTTCGTAATCTTCTATAGTTTTAAATTCGAATGGAAATCTTCTTCTAATAGATAATTTATCACTCCTATGCTTATAAAAATATCTATATTCTTTCACCTTAAGTCTTTTAAAATCTTCATATATACTGATTTTTTATACTAAACCGTCATTAATTTAAGAATAAGGGGAATAGTTATCCACTTTTACTCTATTAAAAAAAAATGTACCTTCCCCTAAAGGGCTTCCTTTGATAAATTTTTCCTTGTCAATGTAAATTTTAGGAGGCCAAGGGGGTGCCATATCTAATAATTAAGCAATATCCTGAAGTTAATCTTATTCCGGGTTTTTTTATTTATCTTTTTATTCATCTAAAATAATATCGGGATTCCCTTCTTCCTCATTACTAGTACTTCCCTAAAACTACAAAGTATCCAACATAACATATTCCCAATTTAAAGACGTATCCATTTCATCAAAATTAAGGTTCTTTACCTCACATTCAGGCTTCATATTTATCCAAAAATTCATATTATTAAAAACACAATCAATAGACTCAAAAGGTGAATTTTCAGGTGAATAAAGCCTTCCCGTAGAAGGTTCAATGAAGATATTCTTCTCAATCTGCCTTTTACCAGGTCTTATAAGCACCCAGCAGTGAAGTCTTTCGCCTTAATAAGGATCTTCGATTAGTTCATCAGCTTCATCATCATCTATGGTCATTGCTATGCGTTTTTTTTCAGCTATTTCATCTAGTCTTTCCTACTCTTTTTTCTTTTCCCAAGCTGAGACTATTGGGATTTTTTTCTTGATGTTAAATTCATTGTTTTGGGTGTTTTCTTTTGGCCTTTTATCATCAAATTCTACATATTTACCTTTATCTAAAAAAAGATATTCCATCTATGACTCGTTTTTTGTAGTTATTTCACGCGGAGCCTTCCCGTACACACAATAAGCATTATAGCCAACACCTATAAGTAAAGAGCATAATAAAATACTTAAATCAAAACAGTCTCCTTTTTGCCATTCGGCTACATTAGTTGGAGAAGGAATTATTTAAGGAAATTCATTTGGAGGATCTAATTCTTCATATTAAATATATTAGGATAAATATTTAGAGCATTATTAATAGTCATAAAGTTCTAAAAATCCTAGTTTTGTAGGACGAACGGTTGTACATATAAATTTGTAGACATCACATTCGTTTTTTGGGTATAAAAATAATTCTCGCTTATCCTCGAAGTATAATTAATATTGGAATTGACGTTTAAATTAGATTACGTGTTCAAGTACTAATTCTTCTTTTGGGGTGTTTTGTATATATTGAATGGGTATATTTTCTTATTATTTAAAAGATTGACATCGCTTTGTTTTCTCGTTTTGAACTTTTGTTAAGTTTTCAAGGACTTGAAATATGTCATTGTCCAATTGGGGTTGTGCCGGCTTTTGAAATGATTCGAGTTCTAGAGATTATTAATCTAGGTTATCCATTTATTTATTTTAAACTTATTTTTTTATTTAAAAGTATATCTATATATTTGTATAATAAAAAAGTTATTTTTTTAAAAAAAAATAAAAAAAAATCAATATTATTTTTTTTAAATATATATTTTATTTTAATAATGAAAAAATATTTTATTAAAAATTATATATATATAATAATAAAAAAAAAAAAATGATAAAAAAAAAAACAATATAAAATAAAATAAAAGTAATAATAATTAAAAATATAAAAATAAAAGAAATATATATAAAAAATTATATTGTTATAAAAAATTAAAAAAATGCATTGAAGATTTTAAAAATTAGATAATTATAAACAAAATATAATAATAAAGTGTAAAAATATAACATAAAAATAAAAAAAAAAAATTATATAAAATATATTAATATTATAATATAATATTTAAAAATACAAAATATTTAAATTTATAAATAAAAATACTATTGTCTATAAAATGAAAGAAAATAAATATATAAATAAAATAAAAATAATAAAATTAAATTAAAAATATTAATAATAATAATATTATATATTTATATATTTATATATTTATAATATATATTTATATATATATTTATTATTATAAATATAATAAAATAAAATTTATAATAATATTTATATAATTCCAATTTTAATTCTAATTATTATAAATTTTTTTATAAAATTATATTTAATTTTTATCATTTACCAAATTTTATAAAAATTATATTTATATTTTTAAAAATTATTTCTTAATTTATATTTTTAATTTAGTACTAATATATATTTTTGATTTTTAAGTATAAATTTTATAATTTTTTATTATTATTATAATTAATTATAATGAATATATATAATTTATAATATTATAGTATAATTACATTATTTTATATTTTAAATAAATATTTTCTATTAAAATTGTTTTATATATAAATGTTATATTTTTATATTTTCTTTATTTTTAATTAACTTTTATTGTTTTTTTATAAAATATGATTTTAAATATTAAATTTTCTTATTTTATCATTGATATAATTTTTTTTTTTTTATTTCATTTTTAATTTATTTATATATTTAACCTTTTTTTTATGTTTTTTTTTTCTTTTATTTATTCTTTAAAATTTTGTTATTTATTTATATAAATATATTTTTTTTTGTTAATAATATTCTTCAAGTTTATTAAATAATAATTATTTATAGTTTTTTTTTACATATATTTAATAATTATTATAAAATTATATAAATCTATATATTTTTTATAAGTAATAAATTAAATTTTATTTTAAAAAAAGATTAATCACTATTGGTATTATAATGTTATTTTATAAAAATATTTTTTTTATTTTTTTTTCATAAAAATTATAAATTAAAAAATATAAATAATTTAATATAAATCTATAATTAATATGCACATAAAAGCAAGATCAGAAAATATTCAATAAGCATTATCCCTTCCAAGATTATTATAAAATTAGGATGATATAAAATTAAACCATAAAAACTAATTAGATAAAAGCTGGTCAAACAAATTCAAAATCTTATAAAATCATAAAGACTACTAAATGCAAAACAATAGTGTAATAGATAATTTTTAATAAAAATTAAATTAATTTAAAAAAATGAGTCCTTCTTTAAATTAAAAACGATAATTTAAAGAACAAGTAATAAAATGGGGAAAAGATTCCGATTTTTAAAAAGAATAAAGTTTTAAAAATATGAACGACTCGCAAATTTTATAATAATATAGATAATAAAAAATGATTGAAGAAACACAAGAAAACTAATTAGTTAAAAATATGGAAAATTCATTTGAAATAGATGTTATTGATAATCATTATAACTCTTTAATTGGAGAAGATGCTATCGAAATATATTATTAACATTATAAAAAAGTCGATAAAATTTAATAGTAAAATAAATTCTATGATATTGCCTGTAAAAAATAATAATTGTATATATATATATTAAAAAAAAAAAAGCATCTGCTTAAACAAATATTATAGCAGAAACAAATAAATAATAATTAATACCTTGTAAATTAGGTTTAATAAAAGAGAATGGAATTGATTAAGATTTAAAAATAGGGTAAAATATTTTATATTTAATATAAATTTTAATATTATTATTTTATTTTTTTATTTTTATAAATTTAAGGCATATGTAATATGGAGATTAATATGCTGAAGTAATTTCTGAAGGAATAAAGAAAATTCCTAATATACATAATTTTTATTTATAAGGTAATAGAATATCAAAGAAAGGTGCAGATGATTTATTATAAATAATATCTCGTAAAGCAAAAATACTTGATTTATCAGAAAACAGTATAGGTTAAATAGGATGTGAGCACATAGCATAAGCTTTAAATGCAAGAGATTGCAAGTTTTTTTATTAAAAAAATATATATAAAAAAAAAATTAGGTTAAAAATATTAAATTTAGAAGATAATAAATTAGGTGATAAATCGGTATGTATAGTATTAGATTCTTTATTAAAATCATAAACTATAAAGAAGTTAAATTTATCCAAAAATTTTCTTACGGATAAATCAGCAGAAAAAATAAGCTTAATAATTGAATAAGCATATGCAATAGAGGAGCTTTATTTACATTGGAATCAAATAAAATCTATTGGAGGAAAATTTATTTTTAATTCTTTAATTGAAAATGAGAATTTAAGAGTTTTAGATTTATCAAATAATTCCATTGGCTTAGGAAAAGAAAATTGCCTGTAAGAAATGGAAAAGTTTTTCTAGAAAAATATAATTTTAAGGCATTTGGATTTATCCAGTAATTATTTTGATTTAATTTCATCTTAAAAAATTTCGGTTTTTATAGAAAAAATAAAACAATTTATGGATTTCATTTTACAGGTAATTATGGGTATGTAGATTCTAGGGGATTTTTAGTCGTAAATGAAAATTAAAATATTGATTTAACAGGAATGAATGTAAAATAAAGAATTGATGGTAAAAAAAATTAAAAAAAATAACAATTTATTTATAAATATATTATTATTAATATATTTTTTTTATATTTTTTTATATATATTTTTAAAAACTTAATCAAAAATAATATTAAACATTTTAACTCAAATATTTAAAACATTAGTATATTAAAATAAAATAATAGAATTTTTTATATTTTAATAGTAATATATATATATATATATATCAAATATAGGATGTAATACTTTACATAAAAATACTCTTAAAAATTAAAGAGATTTAGATATAAAAGATAATTGTTGGATATGTGATGGATGGAATTAACACAAAATAGAATGGGAAAAAGATAAAAGTGGTGAAGGAAATATAGATCCTTTGTTCATTCATTTTAATTTCGAAAATTATAAATGTAATTATTTTGGAAAATAAAATGGACCTATATTATCATATGAAAGAATGTTTCCACCATTTTCTTTAAACTATTTTTTTACTTGTGATGATTAATAAGATTATGATCATTCAAATGAATAAAATATTGTAAAAAATCCAGAAGGAGATTAAATAAAAGTAATAAATATATAAATATATATATATATATATATATATAAATATAATTATATAATAATATATATATTTTATTTTTAAGGATGTTTAATTATATAATGACTAAATTGAAAATATCTAAATATAATATATTAATAAAATTGAAATTTAAAAAAGTGAAAAATTATTTGATTCATATTTTAATCCTTTAATTACTATTGTTCCCCGAACTAGAGATCCTAAATATATCCCTGCCAAAAAAAAAAAACAAAAAGTAAAATGGACATTTCCTATTTCTTTATTCGCTAAATGGTAACCTGATAATGAAGAAATTTTAAATAAATGCTTTGATTTCGATTGGGATAATAGCAAAATTCCATAAAAAGTAAAAAACAAAGAAGATTAAGAGTTACTTAAGCAATTTTTAAGAGAAAAATATAAATTAATAAAAGACGCATATAAGCATTTTGCGACTTTCAATCCTATATAAGATATTTGGTGTATATAAAACGCACCATGGTTAGAATTTATTTCACAACTAAAAATAATAGACCAAAAAGTAAAAGATGCTGACATTAATTTGAAATGGACAGCAACTATTTCAGGAGGAGATAAAGGGAATATTCGAAATCCAGAAAGGGGTATAAGTAGACATTAATTAATGGAAGTTTTAGTTAGAATAGCAGAGGAAAAATATATTCTTAAATATTAAAAATGTAGTACTTTTTTTGAGGCTATGAAGCTTTTTTGGGAAGAGCATCTTGAAGGTAATTTAGATTAAAGATATAATTAATAATTATGGAGAAACGAAAGATATTGGAATGAATAATGTGATTATTGTCTTAAACATTATAAGAAAATTATTGAACATGTGTATAAAAAGTTTGCTAAATAAAAAGTTAAACCAGGATAACCGCCTTTTATGTGTATTTATTTTATATATAAATATTTATATAATAATTATATTTATATTTTTCATTATAGGCTTAGATGAACTTATAAAAATAATATAATTAGCAGGTTTAGCAGAAGATGAGCATTTTGGATCTACTGTTGGATATTTTTCTTTTAATATGGCTATGATGACTTAAGTAGATGAGCTTTATAATGATCGAATTTATTAAATGTCATTAGTTGAATTTTATGAAGCTTTAGCTAGAATAGCTGAGGATGCTAATTTTCCTGTAGGTAATGGGATTGTTGAAGTAATTATAAATATAAATATATAAATATATAAATATATAAATATATAAATATATATATATATATTTATATATGTATATATACATATATAATTATATATTTATTTTTTATACATTTTAGGAAGGGTTTGATTGGACCTGGGAAAAAAGAAAACAATAAATTTTAGCTCATAAAATAGAAGGATTAATTTTAAGATTATTTAATACTGTTTGTGATGCTTCTTTTAAGGCTTAATATCCGAAAATTTAAAAAAGTTTTTTTGTATAAACAGAAGATTCAGATTATGAATGATATTATTTTTTTTGATTAAAAGGTAATTAAATATTTTTTTGTATTTACTTTATTTACATAAATTAATATATTTTTAAGGAAATATTAATTTATATTTTCATTATTTTATTTATTAGATAGTTTTTAAAACATAAAAATCATTTTTGTTTTGTTATTATTATATTTTATATATTTTCTTTTTTTACAATTTTTTATTTATTTTCTAAATTTTTTTAATCTTCAATATTTGTTTTGCACTTTCAATATTTTCATTATTTTCTTAATATATTTGACTTTTTATATTTTCTTTATTTTTATTCTTTACCCAATTTTTCTAAAAAAAATAAATTCCCAAAAAAAGTAAACTAAAGCCTAAACCATTTCCTAATCCTATAAAAAAATATTTATTTTTCAACACCATCAAAAAATAAGAATCTTTGTCTTCTAAAATCTAATCTACAATATTTACAAAAAAACGATATTCTTAAACTTCTTTAAGCACCTAATCCTCTATTTCAACTTTCCTATATAAATTTAGTCCTTAAAATTCTTTAAAAGAGACACAAAAAACCTCAAAATCTTCCTCTTTGCATTTAATAGTAGGAACTTCTTCCTTTATATATTCCAAAAGAACACTTTTTTTTTATAAAATAATTAAAAAGTTCTCCTTTTAGTATTCGAAGAGTAGAAATTATTTCATATTAATATCTATTTCGTTATTATTTATAATAAAAACCCCCAAAAAATTATTTTAAATTTAAAAACTTTAATTTAAATGAAAAAAATGTAACACATTACTTTAAAAAAACCAGAATTTTCCTTAAAAAATTTACCCTTTTTAGAAAAATTTAAATAAGCTAAAAATTTTTTATACTTCAATAATTTTTTCACGATTATTTTAAAAGAAAAATATATATTAAAAAAAATTAAAAAAAACTCCTATTTTTATACAAAAACAATATTTTTATCCTCCCAAAAAACCTCAAAAATATTATCCAAAAAAACAGAATAAAAAACATTCTCGAAATCAATAAATTTCTCATTTTCTTATTAAATTTTAAAAAACTAAACCTAAGAATCACCAATACAAAGAAAAAAACTACCAAAAGTACTCATTTTGAGGCATTAAATAGTATATTTTTATATTTTTTTGATACTAATTGGATCTTAATTTAATTTATATATGTAAATATGTTCATTTGATGATATAAAAAGGAGATTTAATTGCTTATTTTGGGCAAATGAAGTTATAGGTTCATCAAAAATATCAAGTAAGATATATTTTTAAGATTTCTTATTCTACATATCAATCTAATATAAACGAAAATTAATTATCAATAATAAATTTTTGGAAAATTCTAATAAAAAAAACTATTATTATTAATCTATTTTTTTTTATAAAAAATAAGAAATTTAAATTTTTTTTTACTTTCAATATTTAATTATATATGTCCTTTATTTTTATATATAAGTTTATTATCTTCTAATTCTATTTTCGATATATATAAATCCATTTATTAATCTAAAAAGTATAATTATTCATTAATCTAAATTATTTAGGATGAATTTAATATATTTTTATGATATTAATGCGAACTTAAAATTCTTGATTTTGATAAAAAATCAATATTAATAGGCTTTTAAGATATAAAAAAACTTCCTTTACATTAATCAAGATTTAAATATTAATTTTTGATAGCTTTTTTTAAATATGAAATTCATTTTTTATTACTTCAAAAGAAAATTTAATTTATATTATTATTATTATTATAAATTTTTGTACTTACATTTTTTTTAAATAATAAAAAAAAGTAAAACTGATATAAGTATTTGATTATTTTTTAAATTAAAAAATATTAAATATAATATATATGAATATAAAAAATTATATATATTTATATTTACAATTATATATATATTTATTACTATTTAATATTAATTTTTTTTTCTGTAATGTATATTATATATATAATATGCATTTAAAATATTTAATATTATATACTTTAATCTTATTTTTTTTAATAGAGTTTTTTAAAAAGTATTTTAGTGAGAAATATTTTTCTTTTTTATTATATATATATATATATATATATATTAAAATAAATAAAAATTTCTGAAATTTTATGTAATAGAGCTAAAATACAATAAATAGTGTTAAACAGCATTATATTCTTTATGTATTTATAAAATTGCTTTTACATATATATTTATAGTATTATAAATATAAAAAAAGTCATATTCATTACATAAATTAAAACTTGATTAAATAAAAAATGATTCAAATATGAAAATGGTAGATAATTCAAAGCCTAGTTTTTTAAATAAAAAACAAGATAATAATGAATAAAAATATTACAAAATTTTAAAAAGGTAGAAAAAATAAGATATATTTTATAATATAATGATTAAATAAAATAAAAAAGAATAGTAATTATTTTAATAAGCAGAAAATGGTTCTTTAGTAAATAGAATGTTAGAAATTACAGAAAAAGGTTCAATATATAATAAAAAAGTAGTTACATAAGAAAAATTTTAAATGGATAAAACTTTAAATAGATAATTTCGTTAATTTTAAATTAAAAAGGTTAACAAAGAAAATTTAGTAAAAAAATAAAAAAATATAAAAGATATATTTTAAAATGGTAATATAAAACAAAAAATAAGAACTTCGATAAAAGACTAAGAAATGTTAGTTCAGTTATTAATTTTAATAAATACTAAAAGCAATATAATTAAATAAATTAATATAAATAAAATATTAGTAGATCTTCAAGTATTATTTAAATAAAAAAATATAAACAATATTTTTTAAATATATATCTATATATATAAATAAAAATATTTTTATATATATATTATATCTAATGTATATTTATAATTTATTATATCTATTTTTTTTTATTTTATAGGAAGAATATTTAATTGTTTTGTTCAAACTGATAAAAATAAAGAATTAGTTGCTACTTCATCTTCTCTTTTTAGAAAATTTAAAAATGTTTTGAGTCCTTTCTAAATTTAGAATTAAAAAAAATCGAAAACAGTTAATAAGAAGCAATAAAAAAAAAAAAAAAACTAAAAATTTAGCAGATAAAAATAAAGAATAATTTTAAAGTTCACAAGAATTTAATTAATAAAATCATTAATAAGAAATCTAAACTTAATAAAATACAGATAATAATGAAAAAACAATATAAAAAAATAATTCAAATTAATAATAATAACAATAAAATACTTGTTAAATAGATTAAAATATCTATCATAATGATAATCAAAATTAAGAAGTAAATAATAAAAACCATAATCAAAATAACAATAATTAAGAGCAAAATAATAAAAATTATAATGAAAACGTTCAATAGTAAAATATTCATCTAAATTTTATTATTTATAATTAAAAAAATAGTTAAAATAAAATAAGTTTATAAGAAAATGATAAAACTGAAAAAAAATAATAAGATTAAAAATTATTAAATGTTGATAAATAATAAAACTAAATATAGGCAAGTTAATAAAAAATTTGATTTTATTTAATAAAAAAGGAATATTTTTTTTTATTTTTTTTCAAAATTTTTTATCATTTAAAAAAAAAAAAAATTAAAAAATATTTTGTCACATCTAAAAATAAAATAATACTAAAAAAAAAAATTAATATATAAAATAAAAAAATGTAAAAAATAGTCTAGAACTATATCCTTCTAGAAGTAATCGATTAAGGATAATTCGGTACTGTATATAAATCAAAAAAAACAGACACAAATGACCAAAATACATATGCAATAAAAATGATTGATCTTTAAAAAATTGTACCTTATCTCCATTTACAAGAAATGCTTATAGATGAAATAGTAATACTTAAAACCCTTAACCATTATAGAATAATAAAATTATATAACTATATTCGTACGCAAAACAATATATATTTAGTATACGAATACTGTCCATATGGAAACTTAGATTAATTAATAAAAACTTAAAAAAATTTAAGTGAAGAAATGTCTTTAGAAATTCTAAAATAACTTACAGAAGGTTTATTTTATTTAAAAATAAAAAATTATACATAATGATTTAAAACCATCAAATATTTTGATATATGTAAAAAATCTTTAAATAAAAATTGCAGATTTCGGTTTTTGCAAAATTAACTAATAATAATTTTCTTTTTAATCTAAAAACTCTTAAATTCTAGGATCTCCTATATATATGTCCCCTGAAATTCTAGAAGCAAAAAATTAAGCCGATTTTAATTCTGATATGTATTCTTTGGGTATTATTTTATACGAAATGCTTTAAGGAAAATGTCCTTTCGAAGATACAAAAATAGAAAGTTTAATTTAAAAAAAGAAAGAAATGAAGTTAATTTTCGATAAAACTATTTCTTTCTAAACTGAAAATTTAATTAGAAAAATGCTTTTTTTAAATTCTTTCGAAAGATTAAAAATAGAAGAATTGGCTTTATTTTTAAATATAAGAAATATAGAAATTTCTAAAGAATCAACCATATTTTCAATAAAAGAGAAACAAAAATTAAACTAAGAATTATTTCTTAAAGAAAAATAAGAAATTAATAATTTAAATAATAATCTAATTTAATAAAAAAGTGAATAAAAAATATTAAAAATCAATCAAAAAATAATCAAAGAAAGAAATAAAATTTATTTTCTTTTAAATATTTTATGCGCAATAATAGACTTAAATTTAAATGAAAATGCAAGAAAAATAGCCTTTTAAACTCTTTTTTAAATTTCAAATTTATAAAATAAACTTCTTTTATAAATTTAAAATACAGAAATGTCTTCTTTTAAAATTTCTCCGTCTTTTTGGAGTATTTATAAAATTAGTTCAGATTATGAAATTATGCTTTCTCTTTTGGAATAAGATAAAAAATTAATAGATTAATTAATGTTAGATTTTTAGAATATTAAAGAAATTTAATAAGATGAAAATTTTTTGGATAAAAAAAATTATTTTAATTAACTTTTTGATAAATCTTGTTAATGCTTTGATAAAGAAATTGCTAAAAG